AAACCGTTAAGAGATCAGATCTCTTTGTGGATTCACCCTCAAGAGAGAGCTCTTTCTTCCTCGTCCTGATAACTTCATCAGCAAAATCATCCACACCTTTTATTGACTCCTTTAGCATCTTCTCTGTTCCTAGGTTAAGCCACTTCATGAGCTTCCACACGAAAGTAGGCATAACAAATCTACAAACTGCAGCTTCTGTCGCGTCCTCAAAGGCTTTAGCAAAGGGTATTACAGGTTGGTCTGGATCTAGACATCCTGGATCAACTCCAAAGGCAATCATGCATACGTTATCAAACGTTAGCCTCAACAACACGTCTTGTAGATCAATAGGAGAAGAGGTTTTAACAGAAGCTTCAAGAACTTGTAAGAGTCTCTTGTGTACAAGCTCATACAAGGAGTGAGTAGTTAGGTTTCTGAACTTAGCTGAATGAAACTCGATGCTTGCGGTCTTCCTCTGTCTCTGCCAAGACTCGTCATCGGCGTTGAATATTCCGTCTCCTAGAAGGTCTCTAAGGTTGTCTCGGAAGTATGAGCCTTTAGGGTAGACAGAGAAACGGTTCTTGAGGAGATGCTCAACGTTTCTTGGGTCGCAAGTAATAGTGCTGTTGAGGCTGCTTAACCAAGGGCCTCTGAAACGGAATGTCCCGTTTTGACGAGAGAGGATATTTGTTAGCCACTCGTAGATGTTTCCTCTGAGGCCAAAAGCTAGAGAAGGAAGCATGCCTAGAAAGGGCCATACAGGAAGACCGTAGTGTTTCTTCTGACGCAAGGAATGTATAGCGATAAAGGCGAAAAGGGCAAGAAAAAGCTCAAGAACTTGAATGTTTCTGAGGAGAAAGGGCTTACGTGGAACAAGAGGCTCATGGGAGGAGAAAACGTCATTGAAGGTGAGATAGTAAGAAGAATTGGTACTCATTGTGAGGAAGAGAGATGAAGAATAGAGAGAGAGGAATGAAGAGAGGTTAATAAGCAATGGAGCTAGTGGGTGAAGAATATTGCATGAGTTTCTTGTGGGTCTCTCGGGAGGAAATAGGGTTTTGATTTGGTGAGCAGAAAGATGTCAAGTGATTCCTGATTCTCGTGTGTGTATGTGTATTACTTTTCTTACACTTTAAGTAGGGTCTGTTTTTGGGAATTTCAAAGGTCGAATCTCTTTGGGGATGTTTTAATAGAGGAATAGGGTTTTAGATTGTGTTTTTTTTGACCAAAACTGTGAACTGGTTTGGGAAATGATTCAGATGAGAAGTGGTTGATGATGGGTGGCCTAAGTTAAATCCTCTAATCATAGCTCGTTTCTACGTCCACGTTTGTTTCTTTTTGTATTATTTTTTCACGTCAAGTTAGCATTTTATATTATTATTACGAGGAAGTTAATTAGTTCATCATGTCTGACTTAAAACAAAATAAATTTAGATCATTCATTTGATCAATCATATCAGAAAATTAACAAAACAAACACTCAACATCAAAAAAGAAAAACATTGAAATTTACTATACTAATCTCTATAATACTATTTAAAAAGTCAGTTTCTTCCCAGGTTAATTCTTATAATGATTAATTACATAGTTAAATTTAATGAATTAAAAAATAGTATATTTAATTGTCTTTATTAATTTGTTTATTTAGCAATTCCTGTCAATTAAATTATAATTTAGTTATTAACTTTTTCGAATAGCATATATATATATATATATATAATAAAAGAAGCATTTAAAATTTTTAAAATAGATTTAATATGTATATATTTTAATTTCATAAAAATACAAATTTACAAACATAATTTTGATAGTAAAAAAATAAATAATTTCCCTTAACTTTATCTTAAGCAGCATTCATTATATCTATATATTTTCTTAGATGATTACAAAAAGAAATAAATAATAAAACAAGTTATCTTTAGTTGACTAAAATATTTTATAATTACTATTATTGAGATAGTATATTCATTTTTGCATATTAGTTTTAAATAATCTACACTTCTGTAAAGTTGTAAAAATATTTTACTTGTATAACATCATTTTTTAAAACAAAAAAAATAGTATTTCTGTTAAAACAAGGATTTTAAGCCAGATAATATATATTATAAAATGAAACTAAAAAGTACTTCTTTACTATAAACCTTTTTTGATCAAATAATTAAAAACGCTTTTAACTAGCATAACTCTAAATACTTTTAATCAGATAAAATTATCTTTGTTTTTTGCTTAATATTTTTCTCTGGTTTTAATTTTTTTTTTTGTTTATATTTTTAAAATTAACATACACATAATAATATTCCAAAAAAAGAAATAATAAAAATACCCAAACAAATATAATGCTTATGCTTAGTATTTTAAAATAAATTTCACATATTATTATATTCATTTATGTAATATTGAATTAATAAACTTTCGTTATTTTATTTTGATATTTAATTTTTAATTATATATATATTAAATTACACATAATCTTACTATCTAAGATAACAACCAATTTAAATGCAAATAAGAAATTAATCAAAATTTATTTATTTAGAACAACAAATTTATAGTTGAATTTGGAGAAGTAGTTGCAATCTAATTCACCTAAATAAAATGAATGATATTATATATATAAAATCACATGTGTAATTAAAATTACATATTCTTATTTTAGATAAATTATAAATAAATTATAAAATTATTTAAAATCGAAAACAAAATATTAGTAACAGAACAATGGAAATATATGGGATTCGAGTTTGCATGATGATGTCTGGAGGATTCCACCTTGATTGGCACCAGGCCCCCACATTTTAGCTGTTTTAAAAAGGCTAATGCGAAACAAAGTGAGAAAGAAGCTGATATGATTCAAAAGGAGAGATGCAAGCAAGAAAGCAAAATTGACCTGAGAGAGTTAGATTTATTGTGCAACTCTGAGCACTGTGGGCAACCAAATGAAGTCTACCAGTGAGCTCCTGCCCTGCCATGACATGAATAGGCTGCGAGAGAACACATCATATTTGGTACCAATGGGTTGTTGGTGCACCAGGTGCAGTGGTGAACCATCTTTGCACCGTGTTGTTTGGATATACAGAGATGATATCAGGTTATAATTTGTATAACAGCAGATGGTAAGTACATATAAGTTGCAATGGCTTGATACCTGACGTCAAAGAGAACGTCAAACCAGCATGCAAGCCCATGTACTCTGCCACACACAGACGCTGTGAACTTCAACGGGACATCAATCTCATAAAATTGCTCTTCCTGTGAAAATAAATTGACAGCTAAATGAGTTTGGATCAAATTATTTACCAAACAGAGGAGACTGTACATAGATATTCTACATATATGAAACACTGTGGAATTCAATGTTACTTAGAGAGTAGCTATACCTTCATTTGNACTAAAAAGTACTTCTTTACTATAAAACTTATTTGATCAAATAATTAAAAACGCTTTTTAACTAGCATAACTCTAAATACTTTTAATCAGATAAAAGTATCTTTGTTTTTTGCTTAATATTTACTCTGGTTTTAATTTATTTCTTGTTCATATTTTTAAAATTCAACATACACATGATAGTGTTGCAAAAAAAAAAAAAAGAATAACCAAGCAAATATAATGCTTATGTTTAGTATTTTAAAATAAATTTCACATATTATTATATTCATTTATGTAATATGAATTAATAAACTTTCGTTATATTTATTTTGATATTTAATTTTAAATTATATATATATATATATATATCTTTTTGATATTTATATATATATATATATGAAATTACACATAATCTTACTATCTAAGATAACAACCAATTTAAATGCAAATAAGAAATTAATCAAAATTTATTTATTTAGAACAACAAATTTATAGTTGAATTTGGAGAAGTAGTTGCAATCTAATTCACCTAAATAAAATGAATGATATTATATATATATATATATATATATATATATATATATAAAATCACAAGTGTAATTAAAATTACATATTCTTATTTTAGATAAATTATAAATAAATTATAAAATTATTTAAAATCGAAAACAAAATATTAGTAACAGAACAATGGAAAGATATGGGATTCGAGTTTGCATGATGATGTCTGGAGGATTCCACCTTGATTGGCACCAGGCCCCCACATTTTAGCTGTTTTAAAAAGGCCAATGCGAAACAAAGTGAGAAAGAAGCTGATATGATTCAAAAGGAGAGATGCAAGCAAGAAAGCAAAATTGACCTGAGAGAGTTAGATTTATTGTGTAACTCTGAGCACTGTGGGCAACCAAATGAAGTATACCAGTGAGCTCCTGCCCTGCCATGACATGAATAGGCTGCGAGAGAACACATCATATTTGGTACCAATGGGTTGTTGGTGCACCAGGTGCAGTGGTGAACCATCTTTGCACCGTGCTGTTTGGATATACAGAGATGATATCAGGTTATAATTTGTATAACAGCAGATGGTAAGTACATATAAGTTGCAATGGCTTGATACCTGCCGTCAAAGAGAACGTCGAACCAGCATGCAAGCCCATGCACTCTGCCACACACAGACGCTGTGAACTTCAACGGGACATCAATCTCATAAAATTGCTCTTCCTGTGAAAATAAATTGACAGCTAAATGAGTTTGGATCANACTAAAAAGTACTTCTTTACTATAAAACTTATTTGATCAAATAATTAAAAACGCTTTTTAACTAGCATAACTCTAAATACTTTTAATCAGATAAAAGTATCTTTGTTTTTTGCTTAATATTTACTCTGGTTTTAATTTATTTCTTGTTCATATTTTTAAAATTCAACATACACATGATAGTGTTGCAAAAAAAAAAAAAGAATAACCAAGCAAATATAATGCTTATGTTTAGTATTTTAAAATAAATTTCACATATTATTATATTCATTTATGTAATATTGAATTAATAAACTTTCGTTATATTTATTTTGATATTTAATTTTAAATTATATATATATATATATATATATATATATATATCTTTTTGATATTTATATATATATATATATATTAAATTACACATAATCTTACTATCTAAGATAACAACCAATTTAAATGCAAATAAGAAATTAATCAAAATTTATTTATTTAGAACAACAAATTTATAGTTGAATTTGGAGAAGTAGTTGCAATCTAATTCACCTAAATAAAATGAATGATATTATATATATAAAATCACATGTGTAATTAAAATTACATATTCTTATTTTAGATAAATTATAAAATTATTTAAAATCGAAAACAAAATATTAGTAACAGAACAATGGAAAGATATGGGATTCGAGTTTGCATGATGATGTCTGGAGGATTCCACCTTGATTGGCACCAGGCCCCCACATTTTAGCTGTTTTAAAAAGGCCAATGTGAAACAAAGTGAGAAAGAATCTGATATGATTCAAAAGGAGAGATGCAAGCAAGAAAGCAAAATTGACCTGAGAGAGTTAGATTTATTGTGTAACTCTGAGCACTGTGGGCAACCAAATGAAGTCTACCAGTGAGCTCCTGCCCTGCCATGACATGAATAGGCTGTGAGAGCACACATCATATTTGGTACCAATGGGTTGTTGGTGCACCAGGTGCAGTGGTGAACCATCTTTGCACCGTGCTGTTTGGATATACAGAGATGATATCAGGTTATAATTTGTATAACAGCAGATGGTAAGTACATATAAGTTGCAACGGCTTGATACCTGCCGTCAAAGAGAACGCCGAACCAGCATGCAAGCCCATGCACTCTGCCACACACAGACGCTGTGAACTTCAACGGGACATCAATCTCATAATATTTTGTTTTCGATATTTAATTTTAAATTATATATATATATTTTTTTTGATATTTATATATATATATATATATATATTAAATTACATATAATCTTACTATCTAAGATAACAACCAATTTAAATGCAAATAAGAAATTAATCAAAATTTAT